ACGCCGTCTACATCTTGTGAGCCAAATTTTTGAACACGTTTCAACCTGTGGCAAACCTTACGAAGAAGATTACTATGTTGAGTCAATTATCTATCTATCAACTTTTGTCGCACGTATTCGTACTGACAACAACTCAATATGGTGGATAACGATAAGAACAGCATTAATATAATAGACTCAGAAGTACAGGCAAAATGTTTTCAACCGGTTCCCGTTATCCCACACGATCTAGAAGTTTGGTTCGCGGTACTAGCGTCTCAATTCGAGAACCGCCACATAACGAACCAAATGCAAAAGTATACTTACGCTCTGGAACCTCTGCCTGGGGATCACTTAGCTGATGTCCATGAGGTTATCCTCAATGCAAATGTACCTAACGTCTAAGATCGTCTCCAGGAGGAAATCCCAAGACATTTCCTCATTTTAAGGGAAGAATGTTTAAGAACTTTATAAGCACGTCACTCCATGGGTGATGCTAAACCGAGGTTTTTAAAGAACTGTGGCTCGAATCACTACCAGAACATATGCAACCAACTAATACGGCTTTGCTCGAGGACATCCAACTCATAACAGATAGGATACTGGCTTGGACTAGCACCCGAGACAACCACATAGTTGCCTTAACATCACGATTGAACATTGATTTTGATGCTAGTCGACCTACGGCTCATGGGGCTAGGGACCACGGTTTTCACACCCGTGTTAGTGTTCGAGACTGATCCAATGTACTAGAACCCTACGTCCCCAAACCGGGTCACGATCTTGTAAAAACGAAACAACTAGCTTTAAGCGGGCATCTTCCAAGCCACGCCAAAAGGCCGTTCCGGAAGAGAGTTCGGGTAGCTGCTGCTTCCATCGTGCATTCGATGCCGGTGCCCGTCATTGTCGAGCGCCCTTCTAATACAAGGCGGGAGACTCCTGAGCCGGTGGGTAAATGCGACCGTACTCGCCGGCCTTTAATCTCATGTTGGCCGTTTACTTTACGTGCACGATTATCGCAATAACGCTAGGTACCTAGTGGATACAGGTACCCAAGTTTCTGTCTTACCTACTAGTAACAGTAAGTCTCAAGCTACGATGTTCCAACTACGAGCTGCGTATGGCTCAGTCATTCCTCCTTATAGTACACTGCAGCTTACGGTCAACCTGAGCAACCGACGACAGTACTGTGGACGTTCATCATTGCCGATGTTCCTACAGCCATACTCCGTAAAGATTTCCCACATCACTATGAATTGCTAGTCGATTCACGTAGGCTGCAGCTTATCGATACTTCGTCGAACAGCAAACTACTGGGCTTAGAAGCTCACAAAAACGCAAACGGAATCACAGGTGCATTTCATTCGCGTGGCGATTTATTCCACGCTTTGTTTCAGGAATTCCTCAAATTAACTAAACCTGTCAAGGAGATTCCATCGGTGACCAATTGTGGGTACACCACATAGTCACGCACGACCCCTCAGACACGGCGAAAACTCTCCGATTGGCATCGGACAAATTAGCTTTCGCTAAACGTGAGTTTGACAAGTTACTAGCTACTGGTATTAATCGTCCTTCTAACAGTCACTAGGCGTAACCTCTAAACATGGTACGAAAAAATGATGGGTTAGTTGGAGACCATGTGGAGACTACTGAGCATTAAATACAGTTACGCGTTTTGATAAGTACTCCATCCCCCACATATATGATATCACGGTATCATTCAAGGGAACGACTATTTTCTCCAAGATTGATCTGGTACGAGCATATCACCAAATCCCAGTCCCTCTTGAAGATATCGAGAAAACCGCTATCGCTACTCCTTGCGGTCTGTTTGAGTTCCTACGAATGCCATTCGGATTACGGAATGCTGATCAAACTTTCCAAAGGTTTATCGATAGCATAGTACGAAACGTAGGCTTTGTCAACGTCAGTATTGATGACCTGCTAATCGCACCACCAAACGTAGATGAACATTATCAGCACCTAACACTACTATTGCTGCGCCTTTCAGATAATGAAATAATAGTCAACCCCGACCAGTGTGAACTTGGGAAAACGGAAATAAAATTCTTAGGTCATGTTATTAAGCAAGAGGGTATTCTAAATTGTGAGGATGAAGTAAGTGCAATAATGGAGTACACTATACCGTCCACACTCAAGGAACTGAAGGCATTTCTCGGTCTGGTAAACTTCTACCAACGTCTCATCCCGCATGCGGCAGAACGGTTACGAACATTAACCGACTTACTTCGTGGTAATCCTTGCTAACTGGAATGGATCAAAACTGCCCTAGCTCAAACGACACTTCTGGCTCATCGCGATCCATCAGCCACGCTTAGTATAGCAGTTGATGCATCAGATTTCGACATAGAAGCTATTATGCAAAAGAACATCTCTGGGAGTTGGCAACCTCTCAAGTTTTTCTGAAGACGCCTCACTCCCAAGGAGAGGAGATAAAGCGCTTTTGGTGGCAAACTGCTAGAAGCCTACTGTGCCATCACACATTTCCGGCACGCAGTAGGTCGCAATTTCATCCTATTGACCAACCATAAGCCTTTAACGTACGCTTTGCATACCAAGTCTGACCGCTACTCACCACAGTAGCGCAGACATTTCGACCATATCTCTCAGTTCATAACAGACCTTCGTCAATACGTTGCCGATGCTCTGTCACGTATCCAGGTGAATGCAGTTACTTTGCCGGCGATCGAACTCCATGATATGGTTATCACTCAAGCAAGTAATCCTTCATGCAAAGAAGAACAACATTCTATGTCCCTTTAGCGCCAGGAAGTACCCGTACGCTTTTGCGACTAACCTCACAAGCAACAACGGGTACGGCATAGGACTCTACTCCTATGCTACACTTTTTTTTACGTATCCCAGGCCTACGCCTCCCACCATCGCGCAATTGGTACCGTTGACTTCAAAAAACCTTGGAGAGAGCTCATGCTCGAGTAAACGCAATCAGTCGATCTCTCTGGCTCCAAATACGTATGACATACATCTGCTCACGAACTTAGTCATTATGGTCGCGCCTAGCTTCTTGACCTAATATGGTCCCGCCCTACGTCTGCAGCATTTTCTTATCCTGACACCTACGAACGCAATGTTCAGATCCTGGATAAAAAACATCGTGGTGTAGCACGCTAACTCAAGCAAAATACAGCACGTTTCTCCTGGTACCGTTTTACGTAAAAGACCATTGATGTGAACTCGAGGATCAAAGATAGCTTCCTGTATTACCAACGTATTCGACCTACAACCGCACGTTTGCCGATCGGTTCAACGAACGAAACCGCTACGTAGCGAAAGTGTAAATACTTTCTAGGGGAGGGCTCCTGCAGTGATCTACTTTTAGGACGAGAACGCGATCGGTGTAATGGAAACAATTATTATTATCACCAATTGTACCAGTGGTTGCTTTACTGGACTAGAATTTGTGATATTATTACTAACTCGTACACGGTACAGTGTTCCAACTCGAAAAGAATGGTGAAACCTGCTGAGACCTAGGGGTCTTTTCATGAACGAATTCCGTTTTTTAGGTTCACAAGCCCACTGCGTGAATGTGATTTAGTGGTAACCGCGGTTATGTGGCTCTTTGCATGCATAATAAAGTCGCACTATAGGAACAAGCAGAGAAATTTTAGGATTATCATACACACTTGCATACTAGTTAACATAGGAAACTTCATCCGAGTATCACTTGGTATACATGCAAGTTTAAACATTACACGCACACCAGTTTTACGTCATGCATCCCATAGATATATTAACCCACCTGTGAGGGTAGATGTTTACAATTCCCAAAGAAAACGTATTTGCTACATCAGACTGGCTCTCACACATATACATTTCCTTTTGTACGGGCGGCCTGCTTAAACATCTGGGCTACCTGTTTCCCGTCATCTATATATTTCAACAAGTTATCTAATATTGTTTGTTTTAATACATCATTATGGCTATTAAGCACACAACCTATTCCGGTGCGTTTCTGAAAACTGTACAACCTTTCGCTGTAAAAGTTAGAAAAGGTCTAATCAGAGATGTCGTGTTTGCTGGGAACATGCAGCAAAAAGGATATACATTATTCATATGTCGATTGACTGAACTGCTGACATCCAACTGGCGATCACTGAATGTTTATCATCAGGAGCAACGAAGAAATAAGAAACGTAAATATGTTGAAATACTTTATGCTGAGAATTCGATTTTGTACCAAATAATATAATATTGAATCAAGCTAATAATCATAATAATAATAATTTCATTCACACCATGGCTGCCACCCCAATATTTCCTGACACCATTATAAGCACAAGCACTCTCGTGGGAGGTTGTTGGTCGCCGGATTGTAGTATTTGCTACCACAGCTTCTTATGTCTTGGATCTGATGGATAGGCCACTGATTCAGTGAGACACGGGGTAGACATTCAGCAGCTCATTTGTACAAAGTCACATACATAACCTTCGCGCACACCTATACGCTTGAACTGCATAAGGTCAGAGGACTTCTGTAATTCCCATACATACGCATACACACCTGATAACGTGAGTGGTGAAATCAGCCCCGAATATAGAACTCAGAATCGATCAGATACAACAGCGTGTAACCCGTTCGAACTCTGAGACCTCCCAAGTTGGCTAGCAGGGTCACCTTCACTATCCAGCAGCGCCACGAGGTCTCGGGTTGGATATGTTGCCAACCCATAAGTAAGTAATTGGTTTAGAAACAAGGGCACTAAGTTGACAACATACAGGCATTTTTGTTGCCAAATCCCCAACACAAACCCGAGAAATAAAGGCACTAGTACCTATCATTAGTGGACGTATTAGCTGCACAATCATAAACTAGCCAAAATATCTGCCTCTAATGGATGTTTTGTTTTTACCATATCTGTATAAAAATAAGTAAACACAAATACTGCCTACCAGTAAGGGAGGGAGGTATACAATAGCCAATCGTAAGAACTCTCTTCTCTCTATGTAGTACTGAAGTATCTTCAAGATAAAATGCAAAAGGAGAATAGTGGGTTTATTGTTAGAATCTACTATATCACTTTCACAGAAAATAAAGTCAGTTGTTACTCAACTCATTACCAAGAAACAGTGTGTACATAACCAAACAGTGAAAAAACTTTTGAAGTAGAAAAGCTTTAAATAAAATATATTTTCTCAAAGAAAAAACGTTATTTTCGGGAGATATCGCATGAGGAAATTTATTTCTTTCTACACAAATTACTAGCGATATTCGGATAGGGAACTGGATGTTAGTCATAAGGACATAGTATTCAGAGCAGTACTAGACGTAGAGTTGGAATGAGCAGAATAATCCAAAGACTCTGAAGATGTGATAGCTTGTAATTGATCTGAAGTTTCAATTTGTGTGGACGAAACCTAATAATGAGATGAGAGAAAATGTTTCAAAAACAAACCAACAAGGAATACAAGTTAGTAGTGAGAATCGATCGATTTGTTAAATGAAATGTTCAAATTAAAAACACACTATACTACGAAAAACAGTATGACAATCTCAAAACACTATTAAAAACACACTGACGACGAATATATTTAACTATCGAGGCTAAACAACGCAATCATTTTTGCAGTGATGTGAACGGAATTTGGTTGGAGAAAATAGTTTGATCTATACACATAATAGGAAACAATTGAAATCCCATAGTCTAGTCTGCAAGCATTTCTCAAAATAATATGGGATATATAAATTAAATGACCACTATAATAATAACAGGATGACGAAGGTCACGAAATGCTAATTTCTACATGGAACTTCCCTAACTGCTTTCCTAACAGTTGTTAAAAATGAGAGATATCTGTTGAACGTTCATGAATTTAATGACGCAGAATTTAGTTAAGGTTACATCAAAATACACAAATGAGCAAGAAAATAAAAGAATCCGCACAATTTGTGATTAAATAATTAAAGAAAATGAAGAAAACACAATCTAAGACCGGACTTACATGTTTTGCATCATTATCAATAAAATTTCCAGCTTTAGTTTCGGACAATGCTGGATACACAAAACTCATTTGTAAATCACGTCCATGAAACTGCGTAAACTGACGAATAGCTGCCTCGGCAAAATCACGAGTGCAAAACGTAACTTCCAGCACTAACTGATTAGTTTCAGGGTTAGTTTGTTTTGTACAAGATTGTGTATGCAAGTAATTTAGCTTGAAGTATAATGAGAAAGTCGGGAAAAGTCAAAACCGATCGACAATTTGAACTCACATGCAAAAATGAAAGTAAACATCAAATGAAAATAAAGCCTTGATAATACCACAGTTCTTGAATTTGGTCACCTGACTATTCAGGACAGACTACATTTAAGATGTGCCACACTTCGAAACTGGGTACGTGTTGGTGGAATCAACTGAAATGTCATTGGGAATTCCAAGAGCGCAACACAATTTTCACATTCTTGAACATGTATACAGGTACATGCGTAACTGTTTATCCATGAATAGCAGTAAAACAATCTGGTCAAATATGCTCTAGCGGAAATACTTACGTGTTGAGAGGCCGATAGTGAAGAGTATAGGAAGAAAAGCGCCACAAAATCACTTCAATCATGATCGCGATAACTTCCGGCTTAAATAACTACTTACAGACCAACACCGTGTGCTGTAAATGCGAACAAAAAATGACTGGTCTGACAGAAATATTGCAACAAGACTATAAATGCAATGAAAGAATACTAGGTGCGGCGATTGCTGACTAATTTATATTCGAACATAAAGATATACTTATTACATCTGTATGAATGGAGATGCCAATCGAAAAGCGATTTACAAGCAAGTTGCATTGATCATACAGTACATGAATATTAAAAATTTCCAAATCACAGTAGGCCTACTTAATACTTGTTTTATTTAACAGTAGTGCAGAACGCATTTCAGACATGTGATTATATTGGCATAATAATAATAATAATAATAATAATAATAATAATAATAATAATAATAAATGCGATTAAAAGCTATTTTTGGTAGGACAAAAGATTTTTTGAAAGCAGACATTTTAACACATACTGAGAGGGCATTCTGAAAGTTTTCTACATCATCTGATTCGATGCCAGTAATATACAAAGTTCGAGGTCGCTTATCAAGTTTGGTTTGAGTTCTGTTCGGGTATGCGGCATTGTCGCCAGGAGCACAACCGCTTGTGTTTTGAGACAAAAACATATCTGAAGGCCGGACTGTCTCCAAGTCGACAAGCTAATAAACAAAAAGCCGTTTGAAAATACTGGGTAAAAAGGAAGAAATCAGTGTAACTATAGAATTACATGTGGCTAACAGAATCTTCTCACAAATTCAAACATCAATTCATATGGACAAACAACCATATTTTTTGGTATTCAAAAATAAACTGATAATAGTGGTAGCGATTATGGTAGGAACGCTCTTCAGTTTGTCAGTCGGGTCGGGTTACGTAGGACCTGGTAATTAATGTGTTTAATGAAAAGAGATGTAATTTGTGTACTCACATTTAACAAAGGTTTACACCAATAAATACGGCTGGATGAAGGGGTCAGGTTAATATTCCGTGAATGGGATCGTATGATTTTGAAGTCCACAAAGTCAGTGAACTTATTAGTATGGACGGAATTATAGCTCACGACTAAGCTACGGATGTAATAATGTTCACGTAGCTGTAAAGTGATCTAAATAAGGTTTAAAAAACACCAAGAAACTTTTTAAGGGAAACAGTAGAATGGTCTTCGGCAGTGACACAATGTTAAACTAGGTTTTATTTTGAGAAGAGTGGTAGATCTGTCCACGGAAATACAAGTTAATAGTATATTCAGGTTTATTATTAGGTATCTGTAACTTTTTTATAAACAAGACTGATTTCAAATGTGAGCTGAAGTCTACAATTAGCATGATTGATTATACACTGAAACTAACCTGACCGAAAACCGATGTGTAAATCTAGAAACTAAAACGAATACTAAGAAATACTAGTCTATAAGTAAAATGGACTCAACGAGTGAATAGATTTTACAGTTGAGGCAAAAAGACTCTACCTGGCGCTTAAGTTCTACAATCCTTCGACGACCTTCTTTTAATTTAACATCATCATGAGTTGCCTCACGTAGATTTGCTTCCAATTTATCGATTTCGATTTGAATCTAATGAGTGAAAAATAAACAGAGATGAATTAATATACGATAAATAATAACTAAAATACTAAGGAAATACTCATTTAAATGTACAATAGTGACCTTTTATGACAATCACAATTAATAATTATTTGTTAAGTTGGTAAGAAAAACAATTTATTAAAATGAACAAAGTTTACCATTATCATTGAAATTATTTAAAAAACAACTGCATGAACGAATGTAATTTATGTAAACATACTTCAGAGATTTGCTTTTGTCTTTCCAATCTAATTGGACTCGGTAATGCTTGTAATGCAGCCGCGCTAATTGTTGTGCTTCCTAATGGTTTTGAAGTGAACATTTTTTTGCTGTTTGATTCTCGGTTTGAACTTCGGATATCCAAATCTTTCTTCTCGGCTTCCAAAGTTGATTCAAGCTCAATTTGTAGCCGTTTGGCTTCAGTAAGTAATTTCCGTCTTTCATCCAATGTCAGTGGTTTTGAATCTGTACCATTGTCTGTTTCGCTAGTACGATTATTTTCCAACTGACTCATTACTCTTTCAAGAAGTAATTTCAGTTTAGTGATTCGTTGTTTTCGAGCCTCAATCACTGATTCTCGGGCTTCACGAGACTAGAGAAATAAAATATGAGCATTTTAAAATAAGCTTAGGTGATAAAAGGATAATTTTACAGTTGAAATCACGAGTCGATCTAAGCTAGACCATCATTAAAAATTTGGAAGTACTGGACAACCGTTTCGTCCCAGTATGAGACGCATCAGGAGTGAGAATCCACGATAGCGCATGCGGGATATTTGACGAAATAAACTCTACATTCTAGTAAATAGTTAACTGTTGTCAAATAGGTATATTACATAAAAATAAATCGCATTGAAATTGAAATATAAAATGCAATATAATCAGATATAAATATATGGTTAAATTCTATTTTAGATTGGCGTAAAAAGAGTACCTTATCTAAAAGCATAAGTTGTTCTTTACGTTGTCTCAATGCAGCCATTTTACGACGCTCCCAAAGAATTGCCTCAGCCTCTTGTTTATGCGACAAAGTATAAGGACTTGACGTAACAGTTATATTATTACTATTATTATTGAACTGTCTTGCTGTATCCTGAAAGAAAACGAAATAAGGTCTTAATGAATAAACAATCCATTTCGTTTGAAATGGAATATAGCAAAAACTAAACAAACGATTTGACTATTGTGTTTACGATTTGAGACATGTAAACATAAAATCTGATACACCTCAATAAGCACATAAAAAAATGTGTATTGCATCATCGAGTTTCATATACAAAAAAACCATGAGCATTCATCATATCGAATTGTTGTAATGACCTTTATCAATGGGGTTTTTGTGGAAAGAACTATAATTATTAGCACGTCAACATTGTTGTATTTACTAATAATGGAACAAATGGGGGATCCCTACTTACTAATTAGTATACGAATCCCAGATAATAATTAGTAAGCGATTTTCGAGGTGAACACTTACCATACAATTAAAATAAGATCTTAATAGTATAAATATTTAATAGAGGATGAACAACAAACTACGCCATAAAGCACAGTTATGATGACAAAATCAAGATAACAATTCAAACACTAAATTTGGAATGAATGTATAACAGAAATACAACACAATTAATCGATGTCATCCACACTACAGAAAATGAAACTAAAACAAAACACCGAAGCGACAGTTTCCTGAAAAAACGTAAAAAATTTGATATTTAAGGGTAAGGGTCATGCTTTCGTCTTTGGATCTCTTGAAGTGCTCAAATACTCTTTAAAACTGTAATATTGCTTAAAAACCTACGCAGTAAAAGCTGCATGGTTCCAATGACGTTTAAAGTGCTGGATAATCATTGATAATAAATAAAATGGTTAAACTCAGGTGTTATAGTATGCATTTATTAATAAAATAGTTGCCTAAACCCGAACTGATTGTACTGCTGTTATGAGTTTTACTTAACAAAATGCCAGTTGTTAGCTGCGTAAAAATAAGAAATAAGGTTGATCGACCAAAATGAGCGGACACAAGCTATAATATCTGAAACCATAAACCAAACCACGTATAGTGATTAAGAAACTTATGTGTAGTTTAGTATTTATATTGGTAAATTATAACGCTTTTAGTTATTAATCGCATAAACTTACATAAAGCTAGAGGTAAAGAAAATCAAATACAATAAAATTAATAAAACCCGATGTCTACAAAATGACGAGAGACGTGAACAGATTTAGCGAGACTTTTCATAACTACAGTTTCCTCTTTGAGTCATAAACCATTAGTTAAGATAGGATATTTATGGAAAATCATAAAAGTAAAAGGTTTTTCAATTAAAGCAGTTACTTACTTACTTGCGCCTGTTACTCCCAATGGAGCATAGGTCGACGACAAGCTAGTTCTAGTTCTATCTAGTGGTTGTTCATTCTTCTCATATCTGTTTCCATTTCTCGGAGTAATGTGTTCTTTGGTCTTCCTCTTCTCCTTTGGCCTTTCAAGTCAGGGTTTGCCTTGTGACGCAGTTGGGTGCTTTCCTCAGTGTGTCCTATCCACTCCCAGCGCTTCTTCTTCCGCTGGATAGAATCTGGTTTGTTCTCCCCCACACTAGGATGCTTCCGATAGTGTCTGGCAAACGAAACCGAAGTATGTTGCGTAGACAACTGATGAACACTTGTATCTTCTGGATGATGGATTTCGTAGTTGTTCAGATTACCGCCCCATACAGTAGAACTGTCTTGATATTTGTATTGAAAATACTGATCTTGGTGTCGGTTGACAGTTGTTTTGATTTCCAGATGTTCTTCGATTGTAGATGTGATCTTGCTTTACCGATCCACATCTTCACTTTTCATCAGATCCATCGTGTTCATCGATGATGCTGCGCAGACATCCTCAAAACCTTCTCTGTCAAATGTGATTTGCTTGGTGCATGTTGTATTGTATCGGAGAGTCTTGCTTTTCCCTTTGTTTATATTGAGTCCTACTGCTGTTGCACTGGTCGTCTTCTCCTGCATTTATTGTTGCTTTTGTGATAGAAGAGCCAGATCATTTGCGAAGTCTAGATTATTCAGCTGCATCCTAGCTGTCTACTGTATCCCGTGCTTCTCTTCAGATATTGACGTCTTCATGATCCAGTCGATGACCAGGAGAAAGAGAAAGGGTGAGAGTAAGCAACCTTGCCTAACACAGGTTTTTACCTCGAACGAGTCTGTCAACTGTCCACCATGCACGATTTTGCAATTCAGTCCGTCATCATAGGAATTCCGTATGATATTGACTATCTTCTCAGGGACGCCGTAGTGTCGAGGAAGCCTCTATAGTGTTGTCCTGTCCATGCTATCAAATGCCTTCTCGTAGTCAATGAAGTTGGTGTAGAGTGATGAATTCCATTCGATTGATTGTTCCACAATGATACGTAGAGTTGCGATTTGGTCTGTACACGATCTATCCTTACGAAATCCAGCTTGTTGATCTCGAAGTTGGGCGTCTACGGAATCCTTCATCCTGTTTAACAATACTCTGTTGAAGACTTTTCCTGGTATTGAGAGAAGAGTGATGCCCCTGTAGTTATCACAATTACTGAGATCGCCATTCTCTAGTATTTTGATCAGAAGTCCTTTTTTCCAGTCTATTGGTGCTTGTTCTTCGTTCAAAACCTTACTGAAGAGAATATGGAGTATCTTTATGGTTACTTCTACATCTGCTTTCAGTGCCATTGCTGGAATGTTGTCTGGTCCAGCTGTTTTGCTGCTCCTGATTTGTCTGATGGCCATGCTGATCTCTTTAATTATTGACGGGTCAACATCGATTGGAAGGTCTGTGGGTGCTGCTTCGATGTTGGGTGGGTTCAGTGGAGCCGGTCGATTCAAGAATTCTTTGAAGTGTTCTACCCACCTGTTTCGTTGTTCTTCAGTGTTGGTGATTATTTTATCTTCCTTGCTTTTCACTGGTCGTCCTGGATTAAGATAATTTCCAGCGAGTTTCTTGGTTGTATCATACAATTGTCTCATGTTTTCTTCGCTTGCAGCTATTTCCGCCGTCATTGCTAAATCTTCAACATATTTCCGTTTATCGGTTGTGATGCTCCTCTTTACTTGCTTGTTTACTCCTATTTATACAGCTTGTGCCTTGGGTTTTTCTGTTCTTGTTCGCATGATATTGAGTGCTGCCTGCTCGTTCCTCCTTTTTTTCAATCTAATCCAGTGTACCAACAGTGATCCATTCTTTGCGATGGTGCTTGTTGTGGCCCAGAACCTCCTGACATGTTGAAGTGATCGTCTCTTTTATCCTTTTCCAGTTGCTCTCCATGGTAGTTCCCTCTCCATTGAGTAGATCGTTAAAGGCCTGGAACCTATTGCTGAGAGCTATCTTGAATTCATTGGATCTGTGTGTATCCCGAAGAACGGACTATATTAAACTTTTGTGATGTTTTCCGTCCGTTGTTCAGTGGTTCTTGAGTTCCAGTCTCATCTTGGCGACCAGCAAGTGATCATCTGATACTAACATCCTCCATCGACCTCCTGAACTTGCTGTTGATGCAGATATGGTCAATTTAGTTCTGCGTAGTGTGATCCGGTGAAGTACGTGTAGCTTTGTGTATGCGTTTGTGTAGGAATATTGTACCGCCTATGTTCAGTTTGTTGAAGGCATATAGATATGCAAATCTCTCACCATTTCAGTTCATTTTTCCCAGTCCATGTCGTTTCATGACATCTTCGTATCCGGTGTTGTCCATTCCAACCTTGGCATTTAGGTCTCACATCAGAATGGTCAAGTTCTTTGTTGGGCACATTTCGACGATTGACTGCAGCCTATCGTACAATTGATCTTTAACGTCTTTATTGTAATCGTTAGTAGGCGCATAAGTATTAGATTACGTTGATTGTAATGTGCTCTTTCTTTGTTTTGAAGGAAGCTTTGATGATCCTGGGTCCATGAGATTCCCATTCTATAAGTGCTTTTGTGCCTGTTTGGATAGCATCAGTGCAACTCTTTGTGTATGTGGGGCATTTTCTTCTTCATCGCCGGAGTATAACAGCAGCTGTCCTGAAGTTAATCTTTGTTGTCCATCTTGCGTCCAAGCACCTCCATGTTGTATCTTTTCATTTCGGCAGCAACTTGGATGTCTCTCTCTGTCTCTCACATTGTACGAACATTCCATGTACCTAGATAAATTGTTGCTCTGGTTGTTAAGAGGGGCATCAGCCTCGTGACTTCCGAAGGAACTCGGCTTCCACACGAGGCGTCATAACTCTTCTAAATGAAGACCTTCTAACTCCCAGGGGGAAGTTTAAATGGTTTGAATGATTTTTTCTGGTTAGAGTCTTTTTAGCGAGTTAGTTTTTCTATGGGATGTGGTCACTAACCCCATGCCCAACCCTCTTCCTTTATCCGCGCTTGGGATCTGCAGTAACCCCAGAGGGGCTCCAGGCGGAGCGGTAGCCGGATGTTATCAAAAAGATTTCACTAAAAAGCTGAAGTTTATATTTTATAATTTAGTTAAAAATTGGTAAAGGTTTTAGAAACTACTTATCTATACAATGTGCCATGAATAATACTGATAAACTTAGGCTCGTACAATAATTCAACAAATTCAACTAAATTTATTTCATCAGGAGAGACAAATGGTAGCATAAGATAAAAAATGAATACAGGTGATCGTATTTCGTAAATTTACAGAACAGGATATTTCGACAAGTTAACCATAGCATATTTTCGAAATATTTGCTCATAAATAATTCCCAACCTTTCTAATCAATCACAAATATTAGGTACTCGCCATACATTTTTGTAAAACGAGACTAAGCTATGATAGCCTCGAATGAGCGGAACTATTAATGATGTGAAAATAAGGGATAAAATAAAAAACAATGGACAATCATTCTTACAAAATTAATATAACTGAAATTCGCAATTATTTAAATATGAGCAACAAATTTACTGACGATTTATTGAAGTAATATAAAGGATAACCGTCTGAAACTCACAGTATTACGAGTAAATAATAATGACTCTTGATCGACATTAAGATCAACATAATTATCTACTACTTTGTCCATTGTTTGGTTAAAAGCTTTATTACGTTCTTTGATGAAAGTGGCAGAATTTCGTTCATGACCATCTATGGTCGGATTTTCGTCAATTAAATCGTCATCTTCATCACCAGATAATAAGGCATCTCCACTAGTTGGATTACGTTCTAAACGCCAACGAGATCTATTACCCCTTTGGAGAGTGTGATCAGAAAGAATGCTGTCAGGAACCTGTTGACTTTCTATACAGTCATTAGTCATACTCATCCATGAATATGAATTAATTTTGTTATTTCCAGCAACAGGCCGTGTTCCTAAACGATCCAGTATACTCTGTAACAAAAGTTTAAAAATAAACCAGTTATAGAAAAAAATTTGTCGTACACACTTCAAGTACAAATTAGCTTTGCATTAAAACACGGTAAATAAACGTTTAATCAATGGGCTAACCTGAAATTTATCAATAAAATATTCTAAATTACATCAAAATGATGAACAGATAATATAATCAGTGTTGGAGCAATATTATCTAACTAGTAAATGAAGTTATCCCACTCATTTACTAGGTACAGATTGACGTACATGGCTTTGGGTCAGTGACACCACCCAGGTTCTAAAGCCAGAGTAGATGGAACGACGTTTGAAACTGTAATTCAGTAGAATGTATTAATCATTGAATCATCGCTCTTCAGTGAATGATGTTACATTAGTAAATTATATTCCATAAAAAGAGTTCAAAATTATTAGGTTCATGAAAGTCACATGTATCTTTTAGGATTCTGAAGAATAAACACATTTCTAATTATTTCAACTTATTCGATAATTTGAACAATTGTCTTTTGAAAAATTCACTTCTAAATGCTGTTTTATAATTTAAACTACCCACTCAGTTAATTAATCAAATGCGATATAGAATCTGACACATATGTACATCGGTTCAAGTTTCTACCACATTAGGACAGCGACATGAAACTGCCTGGGCAAATCCCATAGTAGTAGAGGTAGAAACAAAATTAACGATAGTAGAAAAGTCTAAAGACCCAAGATGCGATTCGAGAAGTAAATATAAATTAGTGAAATAATAGTTTTTTTAATGTATCCGGAATCTATAAACTTAGGATCTAAATAGATACAAAGAGTGAGTACAATTGCGCTACTGTAAACGATTTTGAGCCGTGTAACCCACAATCCCTAATCACTGGTTACAATTACCATGCAGACCTCAATCAAGTAGTCTGCATCTACCTAAATAAGTCAGTTCAAGTGTTTTTATGGACTAATGCTATATCTTGGTTTAGCCACCTCCACCTTTTTTCCAACCTACTCCAACATCAGACATAGAGCGCATCGAAGTATTCAGTGGATGGTGTGTATACGTAATACATGTTCCAACTAAGTCGAAAAAGAATCACTACCTAGTCACCTGAATTGCCAAGCTTACCGAGTCTAACCTCGGCATCACTAAGGAATCATATGAATCCATTATGCACTAGAATTTGGTAATAATAAATCACAAATACCCTAAAAAGTATTTTGGTTACCTCTTAGGAAAGGAAATGTCAAGGATGAAACTGCTCAAAATGTCGGCAGATAGGGAAATAACGCTATAACTCAGCAGGTAAAGGTAAATATTAGACGCATCTGAGCACCAGATGAGTATGCAAAACAATTGTGCCAACCAGTTTACTAAATGGTTTGCAACTTCAGTAATTGTTTGTGTACTTCTATTTACTATTTTGGTGATTAAAATATTTGAGATGGTTTAACGGTTAAAGTAACTAGCTTTAACCACTGATTCGCAGGTTTAAAATCCAGTTAATCTTTGTATTATCAAGCTAGTTAGTATTATTATAAGTGTCTTAAAGTCGAACACATGAACTTTTATGTGACTGTAGTTGCATAAATGAAAAAAGATTCATGCGGCAAGCTTCAATCACATCAATAGTAGAATAACCACAATCTAAGCATATGTCCATATTCTTAGTAATCACTTTGTACATCAATAAAATGACAGAAAGCAGACTGCCAAGCAGTATACTTGCCCACTATAATATAACAGTTAGAACAAAACATATAAGCGAAGAATATTGTTTTCAATTAGACTTTTATCAGGCTTGGTTCTAATATAAGGCAGTATTGATATGCACATATGAAAAGCATTAAACCCTTCAGTTTATGAAACGGTGATTATACGCATATAAGTCGCATTAAATATCCACTGCGATGTTCCAATCAAATGGAATAAATCTCTAACTTGTCTGGCCTTACACAAGATTCGGGTTTGTAAGCAAAAAACCTAAAAAGATTAGTAAAAATGAAAATTTTGTAAAAGTAGTAGCAAACTACATGAAAGCCTGCCCACAATGTTTTTAAAATTACAAATCCTACTTTTAAAATTTTACGGTGAATTCAATATACTATAAAATCTAACCTTGGGACGAGGGAAACGACTAGTCATACTTCGAGCATTGTGTTTGAAATTTTCTGGAAAACGAGTGTAAATCCGAATAAATCTATTTGAAAACATAGGAATGGGGCTTCGATAGGCTTTTTCAGCTTCATCTGATGAAGAAAACTCAACCACTGCGGACCCTACCATGCCCTTGTATCTAGCGATGACGTTTATTACATGACCAAATTGGGAAAAATGCTCACGAATTTTATCCGCATCATTAAGTTTCCAAGGAAGACGATCGATATACAGAGTAGTACGAGGATCGATAGTTCGAGAAGTGGTATCCAAAGAAAGATCTGTGACTCCTGATGCTTTTGGGACTACAGCATATGAACTGATTTGTTCAGTGATAGGACTGGGTTTATATGATAGTGGTGGGGTAGAAGCATTATGTCCTACATCCGAAGTATCGCAAGACGGTAGAATATTGGACTCGGACGTCGAAATCATGGACAAATGTGGTCGATCTGGTTCATAAGCAGGAGGAGCTGGATTAATTTCGGACTGATCTTTATTAGTAGTATTTTGAATCATTGGCAAAGGAACTATATTTCGACTAATAGTGTTGGTGTTGTTAAATACGCGAAAATTATTAGGACGTTGTTGCACGTTATTCTGTAAACGGGGATGCTTCCAATTGGATTTATTATACAAAACAGAAGGGTTAGGAACCTGAGGAAGTAATCCAGTATCCAGTGGCTGATCAATGCAACAGGTCATTAACATTTGATTATCTGGATGATTAACTAAATAGAAAAGACAAATTAATGGGGACAAAAAACGGATAACGGTGAACTTCCCTGAGCCAAATATGTGAAAGGTAAAATTAGGAACAAAATTTACAGTTATTAGTTAACTGAAATCATATACCGAAAAAATGCTGACATGGAAACATTTCGAACCGATCCAATCTTGGCAATCATTTGTTTCATCGGTAAAGCCAAAAATGACAATGATACCCCTCCTCATTTGGCAAGTGTTCTGTTTTTCATGTCTTCTTAACCACTCATACGGTAGAAGAACGAAGGGTTTGCCTGATAACGTTCTTGATCTTTTCTGACAGATCAAAATAAACAGGTTTGTTACGACGGCACAACCGACTGCTAAAACGCTGGAATTATTGACGTGGTTGAATAAATAATTTGCCCACGTATACGATCATTAAGTTCCAGTCCAGTAGATTCCAGAACCACTGGTCAACTGACAGGACATCTATCAAGGAGTTCAAGCTGTCGTTAACATAAAATATCCAACCAATATAGTATGAACATGAGCTACTTTTCAGGTAATGATTAATTAATCAAGATTATAAAGCAATCAATGGGGGTCTATTATTATCCATTATATGAATCTATAGACAGTCAGTCAGTCAGTCAGCTACAACGTAGGACCAGGCACATTTATGCATCGGTCCAAGTTGCCATACCTCGTTAGCACAACAAGATGAACAGTTGATTCATAGAAGTAATTAATTTACTGGTGGTAGTAGTATATAAATTATAGGTTGTATATAAGGATATAGTACAGGAAGGAAGAGAGATATGAAGCAATTTTAGTCTCAAGGTTTAAGGGAAGATAAAGAGTGTATACACCTACGCCATTGTGACCGATTCTGAGCCATGTCACCTAGAGTCTCCAACCATTGGTTACGATAGTCACGCGGACCCCAACCAGGTAGTCTGCATCTGCCAACATGGCTCAGACTAGAAGTTAGTGACTTCAAACACTGATGCCATGTTTTGGTTTGGCCGCCCCTAACTCTCTTCCAACCGTCCCCAATACTAGTCATCATAGCGCGTCGTGGTAATCGGTGTTCAGGCATACGTAACACATGGCCCAACCATCTCAGTCGATGAAGATTCATCAACTCATCAACTGATTTACCATCGTTCCCTAATACCCTGCGTCTAACCTCACTATTACTTACCCGGTTATCCCAGCAGATGCGAGCAATATTTCTAAGGCATCTGTGGTCAAATACTAGTAACCTACGAGTATCTTCTACTCTTAATGGCCATGTTTCACAGCCGTAAATTAGAACAGAGCGAACTGATGCTCAGTATACTCGTCCCTTAATTGATAGACGGATATCTCGTCTACGCCATAGGTGACGTAAGTTGGCAAAAGCCAAACGAGCTTTTTGAATCCGTGCTGAAATTTTGTCAGACACCAACCCATTAGGGCTGATCAGACTTCCAAGATAAGTGAAGTTGTCCACGCGTTCGACTACTTCACTCCCTATCCTTAGTTCGAGTGTTGACGCAGGCCAGTCCTGGAGTAACAATTTACATTTGGATGGGGAGAAACGCATCCCAAACATCCTGGCATTATTACTGAGTTCCAACAGAAGACTCTGCATTTTGCCAGCGTCTTCACCAAACAGGACTATGTCATCTGCGTATTCTAAGTCGCTTAGTGGTCCCCCTGGTAGGAGATCAATTCCTGAAAATTCAGTCGATGAGAGTGTTATTTCCAGCAACAGGTCTATAATGAAGTTAAACAAAAATGGGGATAGTGGACAGCCTTGACGGACACCACTTGAGGTTGTAAAATCATATGACAGTTCGCCATAAGCTCTCACTCGACTAATAGTGTTCGAGTAAAGAGCCTTCAAAAGGTTTATGTACTTCTCAGGTACACCTTTCAATGACAGACACTGCCACAGAACCTCTCGGTCTACAGAGTCAAATGCTGCTTTTAAGTCAAGAAAAACTATCATTGTCGGACGCCGATAAGCGTGTCTGTGCTCTAAAACTTGACGAATGGTGAATATGTGGTCGATACAGCCACGACCAGGTCTGAAGCCAGCCTGATTTTCTCGTGTTTGCAGTTCACGAGTCTTAGTTAGGCGCCCGATAATTATTGAGGCTAGTATTTTAGATGCTATGTTAGTCAGACTAATCCCTCTATGGTTATCGCAGGATGATTTTGACCCCTTTTTATATATTGGGACAATCAGTGATTGTGACCAGTCGGATGGGATTACATCCGTCTCCCAGATTTTAGCCAGAATATTAGTCAACCTAATCGCTAAAATTGGACCACCGTATTTAAAAACCTCTGGAACCAATCCATCAGGACCAGCTGCTCTTCCCCGTTTCAGATTACCTATAGCCTTTTGAACTTCAAGTAGGGTCGGGGGGCCTACTTCAATGTTCCATTCAGGTTTTCTGGGAATAGTGGGTAGTTGTGCAGTAGCTGAAGGCCAGCTAAACTGCTCCTTAAAGTGTTCCGCCCATCGTTCTAAACGTTTAGGTTGAGAGCAGATAAGGGTTCCGTCTTTTTCCGAGATTGTCTCACTTACACTTGACTTCTTAATTCCGGTTTCTTTTATTAGTCTGAATAGTTGCCTGGTGTTCCCTACAGCCGCTGCCTTTCCATCTCTTTTGCTTTCGTTGCCCACCACTGCTCACGATCATTCCTTAGGCTTTTAGTTAACCTAGATCTAATTTCTTTACGCTCTTCGTCATGTTCAGAGCCTGATGGGATGAGTTTACGCGAATCCATCAGTGAAATAGACTTAGAGGAAATCCACTGGTTTTTTGGAGCCCTATGGTTTAAATGACTAATAGATGTTACTGCCGTTTCCACAGCTGTTCGTGTGTCTTTCCAAGCAGCATCTGGGTCAGTCTCGTTTACAGAACTGCCTAGATGTGAACTCAGTTGTTTCTGGAATTCGCATTTGGCTTTCTCGTCCTCCACTTCAATCCTAATGGGTCTTCTTAGTGTACTTTTCCTGCGTCCATTGAGGCGCAGACAAATGCGTGCTCGTATTAAAGCGTGATCAGAGTCTAAACAAGTATTCCAATACGAGCGACAATCTTCTATTGAGCCTCTCCAACGATGACTGATGACAATATGGTCTATTTGAGTCCATCGTTGGTTTGGTGTAGGTGGTCGTCATGTTAGACGATGTCTCTCCTTATGTTTAAAATTAGTGCTTTCTAAAAATAAACGATTGTCTGAGCATAGTTGCAACAGACGATCACCATTATCGGTTCATTGAGCCGGAATACTAAAACACCCACCTAAATGTCTTTCTGTTTGATTTAAGCTGCCTACCTGGGCATTAAAGTCACCCGCTACGACTACTATGTCTGAGCGCTTAGCTTTCTGAAGAAGCTCAGAGAGTTTTCTGTAAAAGTCATCTTTTACTTCATCATGGCTGCAGTCAGTGGGAGCGTAGGCGGAAACGACGAAAAGGCAACGACGTGTGTCCCTATCCTTCCGAGTTCTTATGGAGCCATTTAGCCGGACAGCACACAGGCGACTGTTAACGGGGATCCATTCTAGTAGTGCCTGTTCTGCCCTTGTACTTAGTGCTATGCCTACACCTGCAAGTCCGCGAGAACTAGCCAACGGGTCGCCAGATACACGGAGGGTGTATTTCGTTGGCTGTCCATTTTGGCGAGGTGAGGTCAAGTGAATGACCACACTGGGATCCTGTATGCGTGTTTCGGAGACACAGCATACATCAATGGTACGAGATTCTAGAGTTTTAGCTAAGGAGGCCTGTTGACCGATTTGGCATAGGGTACGTACGTTGAAGGCTCCAATGTGTAGTTTGGAGCGAGGTTTAAGTAGACCTGGGACGGCGTTTCGCGCACTAGAATCGTTGGCCATGGTGACACTTGAGGAGGAAACCGAGAGAGGAAGTTTAGTGTTGAAAGTCAAGGTAGAGGGAATAGTAGGAATTGAAGAAGATTGATTATGAATACAGTGGTCTTCAGTGCTGTTAGAGGTATGAGGGCAGTTATCACTTCCCGGTTGCCCACACCGTGGAAGGATTCTTCTAGAGGTACCTGAAAAGGAAATTGGGTTAGGAGTGGTCTTAATGACCTGAGAGCGTGACCGCAGTGCCCAAGGGACAACTGCTTGAGGCCGGTCACGCACGGCCTTTTTGTGGGGGATTTTTGACGTGTTAGCTCCGTTCTTCAAAAGTCCTTACCGCCGGAGACGGAAATCCGTGGGATAAGGCGAGGTGTGCATTTTTAGGGTCGACCTTTTCTAACCCCACCCCTCCTTGTGGGAAGGCAGCATCGCTGTCATGCTGGTTGTCTGAAGGAAACACCTTACTGCCGTCACACCTCTGTACAGTCAGCAGTACGACTTCGCCTTCGGACCTTGGAATCTATAGACATCAATGCAGAGAAGCTGTTGTTAAAAATTATGAACTGTAATATTATACTGTGTATATATGAACGTACATATTATTCATATGTAGTTTTTCAACAAGGTTATTACACATATTTTGTTTAGAAATTTTAAAAAACATCCTTATGTTGACCACATCTCTTTACATACAATGGAAAGAATACACTGATGCTTTCCCGTTAACATACACTCCAATATAGGTACAATAAGCGACAGACAGCGACATTACCGACATAAAGCCAAAGTCAATGACTCCCAAAGTTTACGTCTTAGAACAGAGTAAGACAATAATTGATCACAGCTAACAAGGAAACATATGTAGAAGAAACCAATATACTTTATTCAACCCCAAAACCACGGGCTTTGAAACTGCAGTGAAATCAATATGTCATTTCAAGGATTTTATTACTGTTGTCTCAAATATACGGTCACACTTGGACCTGGTCGTAGCTGTATCGACCACATATTCACCATTCGTCAAGTTTTAGAGCACAAACATGCTTATCGGCGTCCGACAATGATAGTTTTTTTCTCAAAAGCAACATTTGACTCTGCAGACCAATAGGTTCTGTGGAAGTGTCTGTCATTGAAAGGTGTACCTGAGAAGTACATAAACCTTTTGAAGGCTCTTTACTCGAACACTACCAGTCGAGTGAGAGCTTATGGCGAACTGTCATATGATTTTACAACCTCAAGTAATGCCCGTCAAGGCTGTCCACTATCCCCATTTTTGTTTAACTTCATTATAGACCTGTTGCTGGAAATAACACTCTCGTCGACTGAATTTCCTGGAATTGATCTTCTACCAGGAGGTTCACTTATCGACTTAAAATACGCAGATGACATAGTCCTGTTTGGTGAAGACACTGACAAAATGCAGAGTCTTCTGTTGGAACTCAGTAATAATGCCAGGATGTTTGGGATGCGTTTCTCCCCATCCAAATGTAAATTGTTACTCCAGGACTGGCCTGCGTCAACACCCGAACTAAGGATAGGGAGTGAAGTAGTCGAACGCGTGGACAACTTCACTTATCTTGGAAGTCTGATCAGCCCTAATGGGTTGGTGTCTGACAAAATTTCAGCACGGATTCAAAAAGCTCGTTTGGCTTTTGCCAACTTACGTCACCTATGACGAAGACGAGATATCCGTCTATCAATTAAGGGACGAGTATACTGAGCAGCAGTTCGCTCTGTCCTACTTTACGGCTGCGAAACATGGCCATTAAGGATAGAAGATACTTATAAGTTACTAGCATTTGACCACAGATGTCTTAGAAATATTGCACGTATCTGCTGGGATCACCGGGTAAGTAATAGTGAGGTTAGGCGCAGGATATTGGCGAATGATGGTAAATCAGTTGATGAGGTTGTGAATCTTCATCGACTGAGATGGTTGGGCCACGTGTTACGTATGCCTGAACACCGATTACCACGACGTGTTATGCTGACTAGTGTAGGGGATGGTTGGAAGAGAGTTAGGGGCGGCCAAACCAAAAAGTGGAATCAGTGCTTGAAATCACGAACTTCTGGTCTGAGACATATTGGTGGTTGCAGACTACCTGGTTGGGGTCCGCGTGACTATCGTAACCAATGGTTGGAGACTCTGGGTGACATGGCTCAGAATCGGTCACAATGGCGTAGGTGTATACACTCTTTATCTTTCCTTAAACCTTGAGATTGAAATTGTTTCATAACTTTTTTCCTTCCTATACTATATCGTTATATACAATCTTTCTTTATATACTACCACCACTAAATTAATTACGTCTATGAATCCGGTGTTCATCTTGTTGTGCTAACGAGGTATGGCAACTTGGACCGATGCATAAATGTGCCTGGTCCTACGTTGTCGCTGACTGACTATTTTGGCAACACTGAACGGTGGCTACAACGACCCACAGGACATCGTATTTTTTCGACAATAATAAGGCGGTAATAGACTAATTAACTAACAAATAATTCGAACATGTCACTTAAATAGCATACTAATGGTAAATTTCAAGTGTTACAAAACTAGATAATTACAATACTTTTTGAAATAATAACGTAACCGAGATGTTTGCAAGTTGTTTGTTATGCTAATATTTTATGTCCAAAGATGTGAAATTTTCACACAAGATTTGCTACCTGAACATTTAAAATGATTTTGTTCCTATTTTTGCCAAATATTTACGCAGTAGTTGGATCTAACTATTGAATAATTTGGTAGTATGAAGTGTATTTCGATAATCCGCACAAAACATATCGTTTTAATTGCGTATAGCACTATTATTTCTGCTAATAGAATCTTATCAACTCCATGAAATTAGCACAATAATCAACATTCAGATTTTAACATAAGTATACGTAACAGCATGACTAGATAAAATTCATTTTCTTATCCAAAAAGTTAACAGACCAAGGCAATATCGGGATACGTTTAGACTTTTGCAGATGTACACATGATGAACGAAAATAACTGAAAATATAAGATACATTACGTGAAGCCGCAACAGTGCAGCGTAGCCAAGATACACAACTGAAACCTTGAAATATTGGAAAATTAAGCGCCGGACTTAAAATGAAAAATGAGTAAAACGTGCTGCTTCACAGTATAATTCATCAGTAGATTCTATTAGTCCATGCCACTTTTGTTCCAGAAATCTGAGTCAATATTTTTCACAGGGTAATATCGTTATGACGTCAACTTCTAACTACATTGAAATCGATGAGGATTACCAAGTTTTATGACATTACATTATTTAATAAAATACTGACCACAAACATTTAGTTCGTTTTGTTGTTATGACGGTTAGCAGTAAATCTTATCTAATGTACGCAACAATAGCATACGCTCTTTAATTCCAGATGAATAGGCTACGTGATACCTTAAATTATGCGCTACAAGTTATCTAAAGTAATACAAGATAAAAACTAATGAGCATGCAATGTTACAACCCCTTAGTGATGTGACAATAAACCGAGTTTTTAAAAACTAGTCCATTTTTTAGGTTAAAATCATGGCACTCAATATGCGACTACATTGAAAATAAATCCCAATTACATAAACTTAACATTTGCATCAGAATATTCCCTACAACTATTTATTTTCTGTTAATACATACTTACTAAAGAAGATTCATTTAATGTGCATAGAGAAAGAGGTTCACTACACTGATTCATTGAATAATTTGCGTTAAATGGATTACAAGGCTGAATAACTTGTAAAAACGACGATTGTGTATCGTAACAGTATGCTTGGAAGAATAAAAAAACTATTTTGCATTCATTTCAACCTAATAATCATACATATTCAAAAAGTAGGCATTAGTTTATTTCAGTGCTAGAGACTTTAATCTCTGGGAAAATTCTAAACTGATTGGTGGAAATAAGTTCATGTTTTGACACGAATACATTCTGTATACGGGGTTGGAAATATGACTTTAACCAGTCATAATAATTATCCGTAAAATCCAGAGAATGACTTTTACCACATTTTGACCATTTCCATTAGGTATACTGATATTCCACTAACAAGTAAACCACTGTTATAACTATTTGGTAGCTTCAAAACTTTATTACGTCAGTGAAAAAAATCTAGTGGTAGATTTTAGGTCCTTAGGTAAACACCACAGTAAGCAATAAACAGACGTACTTGGAGTCGGGTGATAAACAGGAATAAGAGGAGTACCAATATGTTGGTTTAGATCGTTAAGGTCAGTTGGTCCAGATAAAACAGCTGCTACAAAAGATTGCGGCTGAAGTGTACTAGATTTCGATGCCTCTTTTCCAATATTCATTGATAAATCCTCAGTATTACTTGAGAGTGCATTAGTATCTAACAGAGGGTTTGTGAGATGAGCGATGGCGGACACAGCAGATTTAGCAGACGAAATTACCAAAGCATTGGGGCCATGGTCATACTGACATCTGTCTCCATATACACAAAAACCACGCTCTTCAAAATCACGACAGCGACGGCTTCTTACACCCCGACACTTTTCATCAACTACTCTATAATCGGTGACAGACTTCGCAAAAGATTTACAAGAACGATTGCTATGCTCATCTTTATCCCGTGAGTGGATACGCTCCCGATTGTTATACTTATGTGATTCCGAATCATGATACCTATTTCGACGCGATGAAATTGTATTTGAATGAGTAACTTCTTCATTTGAACTACCTACAACGAAAATAGAATTTACAACTTCAAATAAATCGCTGCCTAAACAAATGAATAGTTTCACTGACAACAGTTGGTGCTAATAGACGTAGCCAAAAAAAAGCTAACTACAAACCTGATGAATTGCGCCTGATATGACCATCCACTGTTTTTAAGCTAGACTCTTCTGAGTGATTATTATGACGCCCACGACTGCAGGAATCTACATGTGATTCAAGTTCTTTCCCATGTTGCCTACTTGTTGTACTTGCATTATTTATTGGTCTTCCTGGGGAGTGGGGACTGCGTGAACGACTATCTGACGATATTCTTTTTGCTTTAGTCTCCGGTGAGCGTTTTCGTTTCTGCTTGGGAGCACAAGTGTCCGTGACATTTGAAGCGTTAGTGTTATTGTTTGTCAAATGTCTTTTCCTGTCTTTTGATACATTATCAAAAGAAGTATTTCCACAAGGGTTTTTTCCAGAAAAATCTTTTGAGCAAGAGTTGTCCGAAGATGACTGATTTGGTTTCAGTGTTTCACATGCAACATATGTTCTTGATTTAAGTACAGCAAACAAATCCTCCACGAACTTTGCTGTATTTTCTTGCAAGAATACTTCCAACTGGTCAATACATATTTCTCTTAGTTCCTGCTCGCCTTTATCTTTTTTTATCAGAGCTATTACATACTGAGAAAGTGGAATTGGGTCGGCAACACACCTACAATGTGCACAAGTTGCAGGAATAGTTTTAAATACAGAAGTGCAAAAATTTTTAGAAACAATTCATAGGAGAAATGTGGTAACTAGTGAAAAAACAGTATTAAAAATCCCTATTTTTTCCATCGTGAATCCAAATAAAAGTTACCTCTGTTCAATGACGTAGTACAAGTTTTTTAATCTCTGAAATGCTCAAATTATCTGAAAATAATATTTGGGCTGAATCCTCTATAGTTATTAATCCTGGCTTGAATAAAGGAGCATACGGATATAGTTATTTCAGTAAACATGGTATCAAGTAATTAACTTCAAGTAATGACTTATCAATGAAACTAGTTTCTTGGGCAATGTAGAAAGTGCATTCAGCTAGATCAGATTCAATATGAAAAATTGAAACTTTCCAACTTTTTAGCTGCCAGAAAGACGGCAATAGCGAACCGAATCCATGTCACTATTACTTCATAATGGGATGCATCGATAGTTTCTCTCTGTTTTAAACAATTTATTTACGTTAACAACACTATTGCTTTCAACAAACTTACACTGAATGGGTTAATGATTCTTTATCAACACACAAGTCCGGAACGATAAGGACAAGTGAAAAAGCTCATGACTTCTTTTGTTGCTTACTAGCAGCAGGGACGATTTTAACTGCAGCCCATTAGAGTCACAACCAATTCCCATTACTAACAAATAACCTTTCCTTTTAAATACTACATATCTCCATTCCTAATTATTTCAAGTAGACAGATATCCTGATAATTCTTTGCTTGGACCTTATGATATACCGCTCATCTACCGGTAGTCTTGGGTTTATTGCTTTTAAAATGTTTCGCACCGTAATTTACACAAATGAATTACCCGGATCACTACCAAGCATAAAATAGAGTTCTTCTTTGTGTAGAGGGTCAAGCACATACCGTATTGTGACATACAATACTGTATTGCTGTCTAAATTATAGCCCATGAGTTGTATGATTGTACCATGGTACCTGTGAAAGGAGTATTTTCTGACAGGATGTGAAACACAGAGCTTTGTGCAAGACATAATGTTAAATCTAACCATCACCATAAAAAAGCCAAACACCATAAAAGGAGTTGGGGGAGTCACTAGCCAACAGACGTTGAATGTGACTCCTGCTGGAACCCCTTCAGAGTTAGTGCACGTCCCAAGGCTGGATAAAGGATAGTGAGGATATTAAATCCATTGAGTTTGAAATAATAATTATGTGCGCAGATTTTCACCTCTATTTTTCGATATTTGTAGGATTATTTATTAACTAGGATTACACAATAAGCATAACTGGTCGGAATGGATAAAATAACTGAAATACTAGGAAGTAATGGAGAATTATATCCACTTGAAACTAATCTAGGATTACTACCGACCCAAGACCGAGTAAAGGAGAGCTGGACGTAGAGTTAATAACCCCACCTTTGTAAAAAAAAAAGAGCGTTACAAAAATCCTAGCCAGAACAAACTATTTACAGAATTTAACTCTACTTAGGGTCTTCATATCGAAACGTTATGACACTTCATGATGAAAACTGAAATTATTTGGAAGCCGCGAGGCCAAAACCCCTTCTGACAACCAGAGCAACAACTAATGTCAGTATGTGGAATGTCTGAATAATGAAGGAGACTGAGAGGGTCACTCAAATAGCAGCACAAATGAAAATATTCAAACTGACCGTGCTTGGAAAAGGTAAAACTTATTGGACACAATTTGGACCAAATAAACCAACATCAGGAACTCTTATTGTACTCTGGTCATGAAGAACCAAGTTTCGCCGACACCTGGAGTTACAATGATCATGTCCAAAGAAGCACGAAATGCGATTATGGAGTGCGGAAGTCTTTGTTCCGAAATCATTAAAGGATCCTTCAAAACCAAGAAGGCAAGGATGACAACGAATGTCATCCAGTGCTACCCTTTCATAAGTGATAGCAGCGAAGATAATGAACATCAGTTTTATGAGGCTGGAGTCTATTGTAAAGAGATTGACAAGAAAATACTTAATTATCTTGATGAAGGACCCAAAACTTAAGGTCGCGATGGACAAAACTTGGTCTGAAGGCATTATGGTGTATGAACTGGGGAGAAAGTAAACAACAATGTCAAGAGACCGGTAGATCTGTGTGGCTTCACAAACGTGGTCGTGAACTGCAACATTTTCCCCTACAAACATATACACAAAGTTATATGAAATTCATCAGATGACACTACGGACAACTAGATCGAACACATCTGGATGTTTAAAAAATTCAGAAGGTTCATAGAGGACGTATGAACAAAGAAAGATGATATAGCCTTATATCAAAACTTCGTAGTGGCCAAAATGAAATTAGACCGAAAGTAGCACTAAACAATTAAAGAAACGGCACTGTGAAGATTTAATACAGCCTTTCTTGATATTTTAAAAAGGTCAGCGAATTCAAAACAGCTCGCAGCAGCAATTTTTAGGACTTATAGGATCTAGTAGAGGAAGAAATCAATATGGAGGGCAACTGTGAAACGGACTAAATAAGAGGTACCTTCAGCATGTTAGGAGGTATTGAATTAAAAAGAGTACCAGCACAAAGAATGGATCTCTCTGGACAGCTTGAGTAAGATTCGAGAACGGAAAAACAAGAAAGTATTCAATAATAACTGGACGAAAACAGAAGTCGAGCCACAGACTGTATATATAGAAACAAAAAACGAGTGAAGGATAGCACTGGGGCTGATAAGTGGAAAACCTGGAAACAACAGTAGACAAGGCTGCACGAAAAGCTTGAAGAGAAATATGGTAAAGAGAGGCGACCAGATATAAACAAAGGCAAACTAACCACGGAGGTTTGAAAGCAGCAGAAAATGCAAGAATAGCAGCTTGAAGTACCCTTGAATCAATCAGACTAATTAAATCCATTGAACATTGAAGTAGTATATGGATACTTTCCCAAAGATTATGCACCGTTAATAGTGGGAAGTAAATCCATCGGGCAACACAAAATGGAAAGCAGCAGGAACAGACACAATACCAACTGAAGCATTGAAGTCAGATATGGAGACGTTTCACGTTCTCTTTTGAGACGCTTGGAACAAAAATGTCCCAACAGATTAAAAAGAGGGACGTATTATCAAGAGTCCAAAATATGAGATCCCATTAAGCATACAAATACATGAGGATAATACTACTGTCAATAACAGACAAGGTCTTCATATGTTGCTGAACCGAATGAAAGATTCTATAAACGCCTAACCTAGAGTTGAACAAACTGGTTTTCGTAAGATTAATCGTTTATTGAACGAATCGCGACATCAAAGATTACTGTTGAACAGCCATTCGAATGGAACATAAATCTACACAGCAGATTTCACGATTATGAGGAAGCATTCAACAGCGTGGAAAGAAAAACTTGCGATCTTACAAAAATCTGTAGTACCTTTTATTATGACCATCATATAGAACTCCTATGAGGGACTGAATCGCAAAGTCAACTATGCAGAGCAGTCGGTCCCCTACAATGAAGGACCAGGCATATATATGCATTGGTCCAAGTTGCCACACCTCAGTAGCACAACAAGATGAACACCATATTCATAGAAGTAGGTGCTTCAATGGTCAGTCAGCTACAACGTAGGACCAGGCACATATATGCATCGGTCCAAGTTGCCATACCTCGTTAGCACAACAAGAGGAACACCGGATTCATAGTAGTTAATCTAGTGTTGGTAGTAGTATATAAATTATAGGTTGTATATAAGGATATAGTACAGGAAGGAAGAGAGATATGAAGCAATTTTAGTCTCAAGGTTTAAGGGAAGATAAAGAGTGTATACACCTACGCCATTGTGACCGATTCTGAGCCATGTCACCTAGAGTCTCCAACCATTGGTTACGATAGTCACGCGGACCCCAACCAGGTAGTCTGCATCTGCCAACATGGCTCAGACTAGAAGTTAGTGACTTCAAACACTGATGCCATGTTTTGGTTTGGCCGCCCCTAACTCTCATCCAACCGTCCCCAATACTAGTCATCATAGCGCGTCGTGGTAATCGGTGTTCAGGCATACGTAACACATGGCCCAACCATCTCAGTCGATGAAGATTCATCAACTCATCAACTGATTTACCATCGTTCCCTAATACCCTGCGTCTAACCTCACTATTACTTACCCGGTTATCCCAGCAGATGCGAGCAATATTTCTAAGGCATCTGTGGTCAAATACTAGTAACCTACGAGTATCTTCTACTCTTAATGGCCATGTTTCGCAGCCGTAAATTAGAACAGAGCGAACTGATGCGCAGTATACTCGTCCCTTAATTGATAGACGGATATCTCGTCTACGCCATAGGTGACGTAAGTTGGCAAAAGCCAAACGAGCTTTTTGAATCCGTGCTGAAATTTTGTCAGACACCAACCCATTAGGGCTGATCAGACTTCCAAGATAAGTGAAGTTGTCCACGCGTTCGACTACTTCACTCCCTATCCTTAGTTCGAGTGTTGACGCAGGCCAGTCCTGGAGTAACAATTTACATTTGGATGGGGAGAAACGCATCCCAAACATCCTGGCATTATTACTGAGTTCCAACAGAAGACTCTGCATTTTGCCAGCGTCTTCACCAAACAGGACTATGTCATCTGCGTATTCTAAGTCGCTTAGTGGTCCCCCTGGTAGGAGATCAATTCCTGTAGATTCAGTCGAAGAGAGTGTTAAATCCAGCAACAGGTCTATAATGAAGTTAAACAAAAATGGGGATAGTGGACAGCCTTGACGGACACCACTTGAGGTTGTAAAATCATATGACAGTTCGCCATAAGCTCTCACTCGACTAATAGTGTTCGAGTAAAGAGCCTTCAAAAGGTTTATGTACTTCTCAGGTACACCTTTCAATGACAGACACTGCCACAGAACCTCTCGGTCTACAGAGTCAAATGCTGCTTTTAAGTCAAGAAAAACTATCATTGTCGGACGCCGATAAGCGTGTCTGTGCTCTAAAACTTGACGAATGGTGAATATGTGGTCGATACAGCCACGACCAGGTCTGAAGCCAGCCTGATTTTCTCGTGTTTGCAGTTCACGAGTCTTAGTTAGGCGCCCGATAATTATTGAGGCTAGTATTTTAGATGCTATGTTAGTCAGACTAATCCCTCTATGGTTATCGCAGGATGATTTTGACCCCTTTTTATATATTGGGACAATCAGTGATTGTGACCAGTCGGATGGGATTACATCCGTCTCCCAGATTTTAGCCAGAATATTAGTCAACCTAATCGCTAAAATTGGACCACCGTATTTAAAAACCTCTGGAACCAATCCATCAGGACCAGCTGCTCTTCCCCGTTTCAGATTACCTATAGCCTTTTGAACTTCAAGTAGGGTCGGGGGGTCTACTTCAATGTTCCATTCAGGTTTTCTGGGAATAGTGGGTAGTTGTGCAGTAGCTGAAGGCCAGCTAAACTGCTCCTTAAAGTGTTCCGCCCATCGTTCTAAACGTTTAGGTTGGTAGTAATATATATAAGAAAGATTGCATATAAGGATATGATACAGGGAGAAAGAATTACTTCGTAGGATGAAAGGTGTAAAGTAATTTTAATCTCACGGTTTATCGAAAAACAGAGTGTATACACCCACACCATTGTGATCGATTCTGAGCCATGTCACCCAGTCTCCAACCATTGGTTACGATAGTCACGCCGACCCGAACCAAGTAGTCTGCAACCACCAATATGGCTCAGACCAGAAGTTAGTGATTTCAAGCACTGATTCCACTTTTTGGTTTGGCCGCCCCTAACTCTCTTCCAACCATCCCCTACACTAGTCAGCATCGCGCGTCGTGGTAATCGGTGTTCAGGCATACGTAACACGTGATCCCTTCTTATATATCGGGACAATCAGTGATTGAGATCAGTCAGATGTTATTACGACCAACTCCCAGATTTTAGCCAAAATATTAGGGCATGACCAGAGTTTGAACATGTACTCCGGAACGATCGACAGTCTTCTATCGAACCTCGCCAACGATGACTGATGGCAATATGGTCTGTTTGAGTCAATCGTTGGTTTGCTGCAGGGGGTCACCATGTTGGACGATGTCTCTCCTTATGCTTAGAATTAGTGTTTGCTAAAAATAAGCGATTGTCTGAGTATAGTTGCAGCAGACGATCACCATTATCTGTTCGCTGAGCCGTGATACTAAAATACCCGCCTAAATGTCTTTCTGTTTTGTTTAAGCTACCTACCTGGGCATTAAGCTTATCCGCTACGAGTACTATGTCTGAGTGTTCAGCTTTTTGAGAGCTTCCCGCTAAGTTCATCCTTCACTTTATCCGGACTGCAGTCAGTGGGAGCGTAGGCAGAAATGACGAAAAGGCAATGACCTGTCCCTATACTTCCGAGTTCTTACAGAGCCATTTAGCCGGACAGCACACAGGCGACTGTTAACGGGGATCTATTCTAATAGTGATTGCTCTGCCCTCGTACTTATTGCTATACCTACACCTGTCAGTCCACGAGAACTATCCATCGGGTCGCCAGATAAACGGAGGGTTTATCTCGTCGGTTTTCTGTTTCGGCGAAGTTAGGTCAAATGAATAACCACACAATGATTCAGTACGCGTATTTCGGAGACACAGCATACATCAATGGCACGAGATTCTAGTGTCTTATCCAAAGAGGCATGATGGATGATTTGAGTAAGTACGTTGAAGCCCAGACCGGGATCTGGTGCAGGTTTCAATGAACGAATTTAGAAAGGGCAGCATTCCTACAGTTGGAGAATAGCTGTAACTCAGGAAAAGTGTCATCGAAAACCGAAGCCAGAATTTTCAACGTGTTAAAAATTCTATTTTATGGAGCTGGAACTTGGAGAACTAGCATAACCATCACCAAAAAACAAGTATTTACAGCAGTTGTCTATGCTATCTACTGCAAATTTATTGGCTAGAGATTATCAGCAGAGAACGAACCAGCTAAGAATGAAATTGGGGAGACGTTGGAGATGGATAGGACATGTTATGTGGAAACCACTAAACTGTACCACAAGTCATAATTTGGAATCCTCAGGGCAAAAAGACAAGCGTCAAACCAAGCACAGACAGTTGCGTGGAGATAACGGACCAGAAGCTTGTGTTCCAAGAGGGGTAACAGGTTTGAGTGAGTAACATTATAGATAGTGCACTAACATGTGATACTAAGCTCAGTGAAGGTGGGAGGGCTACATCCAAGTCGAAGCGATGACGAACGAGTTTAGATGTTTTAACAGTACAGGTTTCCAAGAACAGTTATTAAGACCCATTTTTAGACCGATATACTCGTTACATGATGGATATTGATTTCTTTTTACTGGTTTAGTCCTCTAATTTTTTCAATTTCCGGCGCCATTGCTCGGTAGTTTAAAAACTAGATTAGCAAATATTGGTCGACTGTTTTGAAATTTGGGCAAAAGTTGAGTCTCATGTACAGTCCACATAATAAGATATTCGAAGCTCAGTGTACGAACCCATATCTGATTAGTGAGTTATTTTTTAGTTTAATTTAGTCAAACTTTGATGAGTATCTGATCTATGTATAACTCTCACCCAATGTTGAAGTTGTGACACACCACAAAACAAGTATTGACGAATATAACTTCACCATCTGACAGCTTGACCCACTAGATAGCTTTATTACAATAATTAGTAAGTCGAAGAGCAAACGGCTGTAGCTTCCACTAAGCATTTACACATACTAGTGTCAATGCAAAATCTCAATTTTAGGGGATGATAAACATTTTACGTCGGAGTGTCATCAAAGCAGTCTCATTTGTTTTTACCCAACACTATTCTGACAACAAATGCCGGAAAGTGTTACTATCAACAAAGCTTAAAGGGTGAATTGACAAACTGTTAGGGATGTCAAATCCCCAGAACTTACTTGGTAAATGGCTTAATCTTGTAGTTTTATTTTGAAAATTTGAATTTAGCTGTTTTCGCGCCAAAAGCGCTCTTTTTACCTTCACGTCATATTTCCCACCTGTAAACTATCTTAACCGCTATTGGTCCATTGTTTCTTTATGTGTGCTATTTACTAATGATGCTCAAGGACAATTTGTTACTGTATAAATGCGCTTGACTTTTCCCCTTATTTGATTGCTTGTACTCGGCTGCTTACGGAATACATTTATATCCCCCTACTTGCCTTGGACTTCTTCATCTAGTTAGCGGGGCCTGGGACAACCGATTAGAATAGCTTATCGTGTCATTGTGTCATTGGCACACATACACAAAACTCGAGACTAAATGGCATCAAAATAAGTAGTTATAATTCCCCTCCATTTATTAAGGATAATGTTAAAATAAGATGGAGAGAAAGACTGGACTAAAATGATTATCCGTTAAAACCATTCTGTAATAATGGTAATTCGGTTAGCAAAATTGAGGATCTTAAGACTGAGAGGGTTGCGACATGTGCTACGTAAGCCTAATCACTATATATCTCGACGATGCCAACTAGCGTAGGAGTAGGTTGGAAGAAAGCTACAGTTAAGAAAACTAAGACGTAACATTAGTCCATGAAGTTACTGACTGTTGGACTTAGCAGTGCAGATAAATACAA